TTTTCTTTTTTTTATATATAGGAATTCCATCATGAGTTTATTTTTTTCAGGGGAGTTTTTTTATCAAAATTTTATAAAAATGCTTTCTAACCAGAAAAAAAAATTAAAAATTTTACAAAAAAAAAAAATCACTTTCTAGCCATAAAAAAAATAAATATTAATTTACTTTACTATTTCCTCTTGAATGTCATCCAATACGGTTTCTATTTTTTTACATTGGGATTTCATCATGAGTTTATTTTTCTTAAGGGGAGTAGTTTTTCAACTCTAATAAACAATGTCACAAGTCATCCCATTTAATAAAATCATAGTGATTTTTATTCAAACACTCAAAGAGGGTGGGTGAGATTAGATTTATGTATAATTTAAAATCTAACCTGCCTACAATATAAGTTATAGAGAATATGATAATGATTATTTTTTAAAATATTTATTTTTAAAAAATATTAAAATAATTTTTTGTTTTAAAATTTATTTATACACATGAAAATAATTTAAAAATATTAAAAAATTAATTTAAAATAAAAAAATTCAATTTTAATAAAAATAAATTGAAACTCTCCCGAACATTACCATTAAATAAGATGAATTACTAGTCGTATCTCAACATTAATGTTCATTTTTTTTTATGAGTTCATTGAAAAAAAAAACAATGCTAAACTAAAATTATAAATTTCATGTAATTAAATTTACTAATATTAACCGGCTGGACAGACATATATCATCCTTTTAAAATTATAGTTATTTGGATCCTAATTTATTTAAGACAACACTTATCCCTTATTAAAAGTAGCAATTTTTTACGTTTAAATTTATGCTCTAGTTGTTATAGAAGGAATTTGTTTTTTTGTTTAGTATCTGGATTCGACTTTTTATATATACGTGTATTATTTCCGTCATATTTTGTTTATCTATTAAATTTATAAAATATTTAATAAATTTAAAGATTAATTATGATATATATAACTTCATCCAGATATTTTAGATTAAAAAAATAGCAATATGTATAGTGTTAAGACAGGCCCATCTTGCATTTTTTAAGGACGATATTGACTTATTGTAGCACGTTAGAATGGAATCCAAAGGGAAACACAAAGATTATGAATATATAAATATGTTATCTTACAAAAACAAATAGGAATATAAGATATACAAACTTTATCATTTGGGTTGATATCCAGCTGTCTGACACATCCAACAATATCTTTCTCTGTTTTTGCATTATTAAAAAAAGTTTGCTAGCATTATCTTCCATGCTATTCTATAGTTTTTTTTATTAATATTTATGAGTACGGTAATAATTACATTTTAAAATCAGCATATTAAAATAATGTGAAAACATTAAGAAATATTAATTTAAAATTAAAAAGATTAAAAAAAATTTAATTTTTTTCAAACAGTCACTTAGTGACATCCTCTGTGAAAATCTAAGAAATGATAATTATGGGTAATTATTCTGATTTGGAAATAATTTAGATAGCAACCAAGAACACTTTCCAAAGTCTATACTTAGCTCCAAAATATTCATAAGACATTGGAAGTTAAGATTTCTACCAAACTAGGGGGAGTGGTTTCCCATCGGATTCTTTAATCTCATTAATTACTTTCCCAGAAGACAAACATATTTATCTGAAAGAGACCTGGTCTCCGACTGTTCATTGTATGGGTGAAGCAGGTATCGGATTTCCACATTATAAAAATTTTATTTGTTGCCTTGTAAAGATATTTTGCAATTATATACCTAAAACCTTTGACTTCTTTTTTTTTAAAAAAAAAAAACTTTCCTTGTCATTGAGAGAGACTGCTTCTAAAATTTTGTAGAGCCTAAATCGTGCTTCATGTCATGATTAAATACTTCAAGTAGATCGGATAGATGAGACTAGATTTTTATTTTTTTAAATGAAGGGGGAAAAACTTTTTTTTGTTTCGTGTTTATAAGAAGGGCAGAGAGCTACCTGGTTTTTATTTATTGTCCGATTTTCTTAAAACTTTTTGATGAAAATTAAAAAAAAAAATCATGTGTGACAGATTGTTAATTTTTTTTAATTAAAATAAAATCAACTTATTCAACCGAGTCAGATATATGACCCGAGTAATATATATTTTAAAAAAATGCTTATAATACTTGAATATTATTTTTTGCGCTAAACAAATAGTATGGCCTCGTAGCAAAGTGCAGGTATTGAGACCAGTACAATATAAATTATTTTTAAAAAAAAATTATTTCTTAATCACAACAATATATTTAAATTTTTAGTTATGGTATAAATAGGTAGAGCTTGGCTGAATTTTTTGTAACACATAAAAGTGATGTGTAAGTAATGCAAGTGTGTTTTAAAGAAGAGAAGAAAAATCTGCAACTTAAAATAATAGAAATTAAAAAAATAACTCTAATCCCTACAAATATAAATGTAGACTAATGAAATTGAAAAAAAATCAATAAATAAAAAAAAGTCTAAAAAAATAAAGAACCTGTAATTCTAGATGAGGTTGTTAAAATTCACAAGCACAATCATACAAACGAGTTAACTTAATAAAAAATAAAATAGAAAAAAAAAGACAAATCTTAATTTTTAAAAAAATTGAATTTTAAATAATAAAACTAAAAAAGATAACAAAGAGCAACCTCAAAAAATATTTGGCCACCAAGCCAAACTTAGAATGAGATGGAGATATTCTTATTAAAAGGAAATCAAAGAAAATAACAAAGTTTATTTTTTCAAATGAACAACTTAGAAGAATGTAATTAGAGAACAAAAAAAGATATCAGCATATATTAACTTTTCAAACTCATGATCCTAACTAATGATTAAATCGGAAACACCTCATCTAAAAAACCACAATTTTCAAACTCAATTTTTTTTTTCTTTTCACTTTCTACCTCAATTTTCATTGTTTCCTTTTCAAAATTTCAAAGTAGCACTTTAACTTGTAATTTCATTAGATTTGGTCATGGTTATTTTAATTACTATTTTTTATTAGATTAATTTATAAAATTGGAATTCCTATTTAATTTCATCCCTCTTTTTTTTAAAAAAAAAAAAAATCAGATTTGATCCTTATTTTTTTATTGCAATTTGTTTTATTTGAGATACCTTTTCAATTGTTTTTTCAATTTTACCATCCTTCAATTTTTTTCGATTAAATTTAAACTTCATTTTTTTCAAAAAAAATTTCAATTTTACCATCCTTTAATTTTTTTCGATTAAATTTAAACTTCATTCTTTTGATTGCTATTTTTTATGTTTACATTGATAAAAAAAAATTAATTGATATTTTTTCTTTGATTTATCCTTCAATATTATGTTGCTCTAGAATTAATCTTTTTGACTAAGTTTGAGTCTAGAATTTCACAACTAGCAAGTTTTTGATATTAATCTAAGTTTAAAAGGTTCATCTAGTTTTTTTTTTTTTTAAGTTTATGTTTTTTTAGTTTCGTCTTTTAGCATCTATTCAATTGGAGATTATGCTCTATCATTTTTATTTATTTAATTTATATATATTTATTTACTAATTTTGAAAATGACTCGGGCCATTTCAATTCTTTTTATTTGTCATTCTTTGTTGAATTTACTTGATAAATTTTTTAAATTGATATTTTTTTATTTTATCCTTAATATTAAATTGACTGAGAATTAATTTTCTTTTCTCAGTCCCATCTTTCAAGCTTAGAGTTTTTTTGATTTTAGGCTTCATGATTTTCTATAATTTTTTTTATTTTATTACTCTAGTCTCATGATTTAGACCATTAATTTGGCGAATTAGTCTTAGCTCGAGTTTGTTTTAGATTTTTTTTTAAAATTTAATATTTTTTATATTTCGTCCTTCAACATTGAGTTGCTTATAATTGAGTTTTACAATCTTTTTTAGTTTGTCTTTTATTGGATGATCTCATTTATATAATTTGAGTCATGGAGTTTGATTGATTTGCTAGTGTTTTTTTAGTTTTGTTTTTAATTTTTTTTTATCATTCTACGTTGGATTTTATTTGAAGTTGGACTTTGACTTTTTTTGTATTCGCTCTTCTCAATCTTATGACCTAACCTACTCATTTAGTATGCTCATTTAAGCTGACTCAAATCATTTTTTTTATTTGATTAACTTTACATTTTTTTTCATTTAACTAATTGAAATCTTAAATTCGTTATCCCTTTTGTTTTAATAACCATTTTTTTTCAAGTTTGTGTGATTATCTTTTGTTTAAATTGGTCCATTTATTATTTTATTATCCAATTAGATTATACTAATATTTTGCTTAGATAAATCTATACTTTGAGTTATTTTTTTATTTCTTTTAAAATATATTTATATTATCTGAATATTTTTTTTATTTTATAAAATAATGTTCTAGAGCACGGTCCACAAATATAATTATAATCCCAAATAATAACCTCAAGATTATTATATTGATTTTTTGTTATCATACAAACCTACATGCACAAATATAGAAATAGTAGGCGCTATATTAAGTATTTGTCTGAGAATATAGTAGTGTTATTTTTTAAAGTGTTATTTTTTTAAATATATTAAAATAATATATATATTTTTTATTTTTAAAAATTCATTTTTAATATAAATATATCAAAATAATTTAAAAATATATAAAAAATTAATTTAAAGCTACAAAAATTTTAAAAGTACGGTCCAACCTCAATACTAAATATCCTTTAGAAGGTGTTTAATATTTTTATTTATATTTTTAAATGTTTTTTTAAAATACTTTAAATTAACAAAATATTAAAGTAATATTTTTTTAATATTTTATAATAATTTTGAAGTAGTAATATAAAAAATAATTTTTTTTATATATTTATAAATAAAAAGTATTTTAAGAAACATTCTAAATAATAATTCCAAATATCCCGGGTAAGGAGCCAGGAAGATTGAGAAAAAAAAAAACCGAAAGAAAACAAAAGGTATGTACGACCTTTACAGTCTGTAGTAACTCACCCCCTCCAACTAACACTGCCCACCTCCTAAAACCGCCATTTTTAAGTCCTCCCTCTCTTACAAAGAAAAAAAAAACCTTAACCCTCCTCCGTCTCTCTCTCTAGATTCCTTTCCTCTCCTTGAATTCACATTCCAGCTAGGGCTTCGAGCTCTCTAATCAAACCAAATGAATTACTAACACAGACTCTCCTTCTCTTTAAAATGACTCTGTTCACCCTCTTTTCTACTCTCTCCCTACTCTTTCTATCCACTTCTGGGTCGGACCTCCGATCCTTACTCGAATTCAAAAAAGGTATTCTATACGACCCACTTGACAAAATCTTCTCTAAATGGGACCCCTCTTCTATACCCGACCCTAATTCCTGCCCCAATTCATGGCCCGGTATCTCCTGCGACCCCCATTCAGATTCCGTCATTGCTATAACCCTTGACCACCTTAGTCTCTCCGGCAACTTAAAGTTCTCTACTTTACTAGAACTTAAGTCACTGCAGAATATTTCACTCTCGGGTAATAATTTTACGGGTCGGATTGTACCTGCATTGGGATCTATGAGCTCGTTACAGTACTTGGATCTGTCTAATAACAATTTTTCAGGTCCGATCCCTGGTCGGATCGCGGAGTTATGGAATTTGAAGTATTTGAACTTGTCAATGAATCGTTTTGAAGGCAGGTTTCCGGTCGGGTCACCAGTTGGGTTTAGGAATTTGCAGCAATTGAGGGTTTTGGATTTGAGTTCTAATAGTTTTTGGGGCGATATTAGTGGGGTTTTAAGTGAATTGATTAATTCAGAAAGAGTGGATTTGAGTGATAATGAGTTTTTTGGTGGGTTTAGTGAGATAAGTGTAGAGAATGTGTCAGGTTTGGCTAATACATTGCATTTTGTGAATTTGAGCAAGAATAGACTGAATAGCGGGTTTTTCAAAGCAGAGGTAATTGCGTTGTTTAGGAATTTGGAGGTTTTGGATTTGGGGGATAATGTGATTAATGGAGAGTTGCCTTCATTTGGGTCTTTGACGAATTTGAAGGTCCTGAGGCTGGGTAATAATCAGCTTTTTGGAGGTATACCCGAGGAATTGATCAACGGGTCGATACCGATTGAAGAACTGGATCTTAGTGGCAATGGATTTACAGGTCTAGTGATTCTTGACTATTCTTTTTGTGATTATTATTGGTAATTTTTATTTGATATGTTTTTGGATTTTTCTGCTTTTTGTTGGAAATTTGTTTGGGTGTATAGTCAACTGTATGTAATAATTCTGATGATTTTTTTATCCAATTTTAGCACTTAAAACCTGAGGTTACTTGTGACATAATATTTAGCTGGTAACCTGGATTTTGACCCTTTTTTTTCCTTTCCTTTTTTTTTCCGGAAATTACATATATTTTTGCCTGGGTTTTCTAAGTATGGGTTTCCAAAAATAGTAAAACTACGTCCAAGGTGCGAATGGTGACTTTGTAGATTTGGACTCTAGAGGTACAGGCAAAATGTGGCTTTCTTGATTTGGATGCTAGGAGCTTTGGTAGAATGCTGTTTTCTTGTTAAATGAAGTGTAACCTGTCGAATCTGAGTTAGCATCACAAGCTTTTTGGGTTGGGTCATTTAAATTGAGATGCAGGAAAATTAGCTGGAACACTGTCTGTCATGCAACAATGGGGAGCCAGTGTAGAGGTCCTTGATTTGAGTTCAAACCAGTTATCTGGAAGCTTGCCAAACTTGACTTGGTTTGTGAGGTTAAGTGAACTTAATCTTAGGAATAACTCCCTAGACGGCAATTTGCCTGCTCAATTGGGGGACCTTTCAACATCGTCTTCAGTTGACCTCAGCTTAAATCAATTCAATGGGCCCATTCCAGGTGGTTTTTTTACTTCATTGACCTTGATGAACCTGAATCTTTCAGGAAATCGGTTTTCAGGGCCAATTCCAGTTCAAGATTCAGGTGCTGGGGAATTATTAGTTTTACCTTCTTATCCATTGATGGAGTCTCTTGATCTCTCTCAAAATTCATTATCTGGTATATTGCCTTCTGGCATAGGCAACTTTGCCAATCTCAGATCACTGAATCTTTCAAATAATAACTTATCAGGACAGCTGCCAATTCAATTGAGCAAACTAACCCACTTGCAGTACCTTGATTTATCTGCCAACAGATTTCAGGGTAAAATCCCTGACAAGCTTCCATCCAGTCTGATTGGATTGAACATGTCCAATAATGATCTTGCTGGAAATATTTCACCGAACTTGAGAAATAAATTTGATATTTCTTCATTTCGTCCTGGGAATCCCTTATTAATTATCCCAAATACCAGGGTTGAGCCATCAACAAATTCTGTTCCAGATCAGATTTCCGTACATGGTAAAAATCACAGTTCAAAGCATAATATTACAATAGCAGTAATTGTTGCTACAGTTGGGACTGCTGCAATGATAGCTTTTGTTTTACTGGTGTATCAACGGGCTCAACGAAAAGAATTTCATGGTAGAAGTGATTTTAGTGGCCAAACAACAAGGGAGGATGCTAAGCAAGGAAGATCTTCCCAAACTTCCCTTTTCAATTTCCACTCGAATGCTCACCGCCCTCCAACTTCATTGAGTTTTTCAAATGATCACTTGCTTACTGCAAATTCAAGGTCGATATCGGGGCAGGCAGAATTTGAAACTGAAATCTTTGAGCATGGTTTGCATGAAGGAATGTTAGCTAGTTCATCGATTATTCCTAATTTGCTAGATGACCATCCCACAACACCTGGAAGGAAGTCCTCCCCAGGTTCCCCATTATCTTCCTCACCTCGTTTTGTTGAGCCTACAAAATTGGATGTCTATTCGCCAGACAGGTTGGCTGGGGAACTGTCCTTTCTTGACAGTTCACTTGCATTTACTGCAGAGGAGTTATCTCGAGCCCCAGCTGAAGTTCTTGGCAGAAGCAGCCATGGAACTTTATATAAGGCTACTCTGGATAGTGGACATATGCTGACTGTGAAATGGTTGCGGGTTGGACTAGTCAAGCATAAGAAAGAATTCGCCAAGGAAGTTAAAAAAATAGGCTCTATAAGACACCAAAATATTGTTCCACTGCGAGCATTTTATTGGGGTCCTAGAGAGCAAGAGAGGCTTCTTTTAGCTGACTATATCCAGGGTGATAGCTTGGCCCTACATCTATATGGTAAGCATTTTATTATGTTGAACTTTGTGTATTTCTCGTCATGTTTTTATTTTGTAACAATTATTATGCTACTCAATAGATGTTTGAAAAAATGCCACATTACTGCTGCATGTTGATTGTTTGATTTTAACCTAGACATCTCATTGATCATTGCGGGCAATTTTAACACTCATGTTGATAGTGGTGCAGATCCAAGTTTGTGAACTTAAATAGTGTTTTCAAACATGTTAAGTAAATTGCTTTTTGTGTGGTCTTGGAACATAAAAACCGATGATATCTCACATTCCGAGCCTGCTACAAACAATAGGAATATTTCCTTCAAGTGTCTTGAATGTGGAGTAGTCCCACTTTGGAGAGGCTAACATTCAGGACAAGAAGCGTAATATAAAAAAGTAAACGACACAGCCCCACTATCCCACCATTGAGGTTTGGAAAAAAAGGGTACTTTACTACAATGCACCTGAAGCAGACAATGCACCATCAAATATTGCAAGAATAATGTTCTTTAATATAATGAACCTCAGGTAGGCAATGGTTCATCAAATTGATCTGTATTCTGCCAGTTTTCCTGCATTTAGGTCTGGTTTATCATTGGAAAAAAAATTTATGTTAATCTGGAATATAATCATCTGGGATATTACTGGTTTCTTACTTCAATGTCCAGACATATTGGGGAATTCTGTACCCTTCAGTTTATTATGTAGAAAATTAGCCTCTTATACTGGGAGCTTTGTATTATACTTAAATTAGAATGGTTTTGCTCCCTCCCTTTTTTTTTTCCTGAACGTTCAAAATTGAGAGTTGTTTCAGCAATCCAGGTTCTTTCTGTCATGTTTGTATCTACAGAACTTTAAAAGTACCCATTTTGTGTCAGTTAAATATAATATGATAGGATTGTGTCCATTGAATATATTCCTGTACATGCTAGTCTGTCAATATGTCTCTTCTAAATCATTAGTGATTCTACTGGCAAGAATGTCAGTTTAGCATAAAGGACCATCTACAAATGTGAAAGATGCTGGGTCTTGAGATTGACTGGTTTTCCTATCACTGAAGACTGATGGCTTCTTAAAGGATTGGTTTATAGTAAATGGGAACTATGCTTGGATTAGTGTGTAAAAAACCAACGAGATTAGGCTTAAAAATTCTGACGTGATCAGTTGTTTAATTGAAATTAAGTTTGTCAGGAGACGGTTTTCTTTTAGAATGCAGATGTTACTTAACATTACTGCAATGATTTTCACTCATTAAGTTGCATTAATAATGATTCATCACATTGCATGTTGTAGTCCCAGGTGATTTGATTGGCTGTGCCATATTTGTGATGTTATAGCTGAAAAGTTATGCACTTGATTTTAGTCTTACGGTCTGGTTTGCCCATGAATTTTTCCACGCGTGGAATGGGGAATTTAAAATATTCTTGGTGCAGGAAATAACTATTTTATAGACGCAGAAACATTTAGTTGCATGACAGATCTTTGCACATATTCTTGACTTAAGACAATCTTTGTCTATTTATGTTGGTTTCTCAATGTTATAATAGATTACCTATGTTTCCAGTGGGCAAATACAATAGAATTATGAATATTGCAGGTTTAGTGTGTCAATGGTAATGAAATCTGATTTTATTTTATTTTTTGTTATCACAAATGCCATCTGATTAAAATGAACACTTTTGATATTTAGAATGGTTATTTGGTTGGGAGGAATATGAAATTACTGGGTCCTGGATATAGCTAGGTGTGTTTATGTCCGTGCAAGGCAAGGTGTCAGTCCTCTCTCTGTTTTTGTGCATGCTTGCACATGTGCCTAGGAATTTAGACGGTATGTGGTCTATGGGAACGTAGAATCAAAACCGGAGATATGGCATGGCTAATGTTCTAGAGCTTGTATAGCTGGTTGGAAACTGCAAATGTTGTTTGATGGCCACAGCTGTTGCCCACAGCAAAGCTTTTTTCTAATACCATACCGGTTCTTCATTAGTTCCCTTCTCTTTTCATCTGACAGGTGTGAGCTTTGATTTTAGTTTTATAGTCTTCAGATATGTACAAAATGTCTACCAGTGTCTAGTGGTTAACAGATAAATTGATTGTAGTGTGCATAAAAGGGAGGCAGCAATTTCAGTTGTCCTTGGAACTATGAGCTTGCTTCAACTCTTGAGTAACAGGGACATGCCTTTTGGGTGTTATACGCAAGTATTTTACATTTTCATTTAGATACTGCTAGCTGCTGTTGCTATTCTTCCTAATTTTTTTTTTCTGGAACACGTGTTGCACAGAAACAACACCTCGAAGGTACTCCTTGTTGTCATTCAGCCAACGACTAAAAGTTGCTGTAGATGTTGCTTCTTGTCTACTGTATCTTCATGATAGAGGCATGCTCCATGGAAATCTAAAGCCAACAAATATACTCCTGGAAGGTCCTGATTACAATGCACGCCTCACTGATTGTGGACTTCATCGTTTGATGACCCCAGCTGGCATTGCAGAGCAGATACTGAATCTGGGAGCACTAGGGTACCGGGCTCCAGAACTTGATAATGCATCTAAACCTGCACCTTCATTCAAGGCTGATGTGTATGCATTTGGAGTTATCCTGATGGAATTGTTAACCAGAAGAAGTGCTGGGGACATAATTTCAGGTCAATCTGGAGCAGTCGACCTTACAGATTGGGTTCGGTTGTGTGATCAAGAAGGCAGACAAATGGACTGTATTGATAGAGATATTGCAGGTGGGGAAGAACCAACGAAGGCAATGGATGATTTGCTTGCCATATCGCTCAGGTGCATTCTTCCTCAAAATGAGAGGCCTAACATCAGACAAGTCTTTGATGATCTATGTTCTATATCTGTTTGAAATTTTGTACGTGTCCTGGAATTAATTTTTGTCATTCCTCGACCCCCCCCAATTGCCCATTTCCCCCATTTTTTTCATTAATTGGTTTTAAAGCCTTCTGATTTTGGGGCTAGTCATCACTTTTTTATTTTGGCTGGAAATTTTCTTGTAAAGGAACAACCAATCTATTGATTATTTGACAGTGTTTTTGAGTTCGATCTTCAATCGAAAGGAATTTCAATTCTTGTGTTCTCATGTATGTCTCTTTACCAATTTGAGATTGCGAGATATGTCTTCCATAGACACAAGAGAGGCAACAAGAGTGCTAATGACGTTTCCGCATCATCTCCTAGTCTGCCTAAGTGTATGGTCTCTTACCAGTTTTATAATCAATACAGATGGCAACATTGCAGAGACCATGGCAAGCTTTACACGGGCTCCAGCTAAACAGGAAATAGACAATTTGGAGCTTCAGAAAATTTGTTTTGAGACCGTTGAGCAGAGCTCCCTGCAAGCACTTGATTTATTTTGAGAGTTGAGAAATTTTACACGTGAAGAGAGTCAGAAGATAACGGTCAACTGTGTAATATTTTCATAACTTAATCCTATTAAATTAAATTTTTAACTAATATAAATTGATAAAACAGAGGCCATAATTTATTTACTGGCTTTGAAAAATCAGAAAAGGCGCAGTAGGGGTATTATTGCTATAATTTATTTTTCTTTATCGTCATGTTTGGTTGCCTTTTTCACTGCATTATTGTGGAGGCAAAGAATGGGCTAGTCTAATTGTCTATTAGTCCAAGTTTGTGAGGAAAATTGACCAAAATAAAAAATAAAAATAAATTCTGAAGACAACTTTCTGATAGTAGTATTGTACATATTTGATTCAATATACAATTTCAGTCGTCTTTACCTATAAAGGAGAAGCTCATAATTGGTCCAACAATAATGTTTTTTATAAAAGAAAATTTCTATTATTATTATTATTATTTAAATTCAATAATGTATACCAAATAGAACACAAGAAATATCGGAAATATCTTCACGAATAACCTAAGTGTTAAACCCATAATTGTACAAATTCATTACATAATATGAATAATTATACCCCATAATACACATTCTCTCAATACGAGAATTGTTATATGTTTTGGGTGACAATCCTTCTGTTAATGGATCAACACTCGTAATATTGGTGCTGATATATTCAATTGACACCATATTTCTGAACTTCTTTAATGACAAAAGCATTTCAATTCTATATATTCTGCAACCTTTCAATACTTGATTTTTTTATTTAAAAAAAGGATAGCTGTGAAATTACCTCCAAGCGTATCACAAATTCCACTTTCTCATAATGATTGCAACACTAATAGGCTATTTCATACTCTTTCATAATATATTGCTCCTTTAACTAAAAATAACAAATATCATAAAGTGGGATTTTCTCGTTTCCACGTATCTAACAAATTCTACATATCCAAACATCTCAAGATTATTAGATTTTCTATAGGTTAACATGTAATATTTTGTTCATTTCAAGTATCTCAATACTCTATTTGCAATCTTCAAGTGATCTAAACTTGGATTACTTTGGTACCAACCTAGTATTCCAACAACAAAGTTGATGTCTAGTATGATACAAGTCTAAACATACATCAAACTTCTAATAATTCATAAATAAAAAATTTCTTCCATTTAATGATGTTCTACTTCATTCTTTAGACATTACGTGAGACTAAATTTATCTCATTTCTGAATTAAAACAACATTTATTAAGCATCTATCAATTCAAAACTTTATTAACATATTTCTTTTAAGGCAACCCTAACAATTCTTGTGATTTATTCTGAATTATTTCTAGTCCAATCATATAGTTAGGTTGTCTCTCCCATATCTTTTATCTCAAAGTTATTTGAGAGAAATTTCTTGGTCTCATGTAGTAATCTAATATCACTAGTTGTAAGAAATATATTATCAACATACAAAATTAGAAATATAAATTTTTGTGTCATTAACGATCAATGTTCTTAAATCTAAAAGAAATAATAATATCATTAAACTTGAGGTACCATTATCTTAAAGCTTGTTGAAGTCTATATATTGATTTTGTACTTTTACACACTATGTGCTCCTTTCATTCAACTAAAAACCCCTTTAATTGATCTATATAGACCTCTTCTTCTAAATTTTTGATTAGAAAGATAATTTTCATATTCATATAATATAACTCTAAATCATAATGAGTTACCAAAATGATGATAATTATAAATAAGTCTTTTATAAATATAGGTGAAAAAATCTCTTTATAGCTAATGCCATCTTTACAAGTACACAAGTGTGACCTTGTATTGTTCAATGTTGCTATTTGGGTATCTATCTAAGTAAAATCCTCGGCAACAAGTATGATGTTGTATTGCTCCGACAAATCCTTGAAAGTAGGCAACTTAGTCATCCCTAACAGTGCAATTATCTAGTAAAAATCAATTTAATTTTCATGTGTTCACACATAAAGACTCCTCGATGAGTCCTTATCAAGGGTTCACAAAACTGCTCTCAAGATTAAGAGGTTAGAAATGGATTTAAGACCTCTCAAAACCTTATAAATACCTCATCTTAAGCATGTTTAGAAAGGAGGAGAAAATAGGGAAATAAAAAAGGAAAAATGATAAGAAAAGATAGAAAAAATACAGTAATAATAGTAACACATATAAGGTTAGAGATCCAAGAGAAAAAATCCAAGTTTTCTTAAGGATTTGTAAGTTTGAGAGAAGCAAAACTTTCTAAAGAAAAGCCAAAAGAATATAGTTGTTCTAAGTATACATTATAGACCCACAAATTGATCCTTTGTAACATGCTTTTATTGTTTTTATAGTTTAATGTTTATAGTTACAAGCATAAGAAAATAGTTTTCAATACTTAACAAGCAATGTCAATGTTGTTTTGATTTCTATTTAACGAAGTTATTTTAAAGTTTTCTTTATGTTTTTAATGTATTCAAATTGTTGTTTAAGTTCTTCTTTTGATATATAAATTGGTTTTAAGCTTTGATTTAGTTGAAATTATGCATGTTTAAAGCAAGGATGCTTATCCTTAATTTGTTATGCTTGTTCATACACAAAAATAAGTTCAGAAAACCAATTTTAAATTCATGTTGCATGAACATGTAAGTTGTTTTAGGTTATTAGTATTTTTGATTTCGTATCTCATACTTCATCTTGATGTTTTTTGTTAGTTTTTTAGATTCAAACATGTTTGTTTATGTTAGGGTGACTTGTTTGGATAAAGAAAGCATGCTTTATAGAGGTCAACCAATAATCTAGTATTTATTCGCATCAATAATATGGTAAAAGGTTTTTAATTCTAGGGTTTTAGTTTTGAATCGAAACCTATTTTGGCCAAATTGTGATGACTCGTTGATAATTAAAGTGAATGATGTTAGATTATTGATCCTTGTATGATTTTCAATATGTATGTGCCTTTGGTTTGTCCACATGTGGTTTGGTTTGAGAGTCATGTTGTTGGGTTTAAGTTGAATGTTCTTCATTTGTTCTTTCAAAGAACATTGCCTTAGCATGATTTTGACTTGTTTTGTTTTATTTATTTGCCCATAACCCTTTCTCATGCATAATTAATAAATAATCTAGTGTTTATTTGCATTAATAACATGATTTTAATGGCCTTTTATCCTACGATTTCGATTTTGAACTCATTTTGACAAAAATTATAATGTTTAAGTGAAAATTAAAGTGATTAGATGTGAGATTATAGATTCTTGCATAATTTCCAATATATATGTATCTTTTTTTAACCAAATTTGGTCTGTTTATGTTTGGTGTTTTTCATGTTCTTTATTTTTTTGGTGTTTGATCCGTTTTGTTCAAGATTTTTTGTGTTTTTAGGTGTTTAATATATATATATATATATATATATATATATATTACTTTGGTTTTGTTTTTGCATCATTTTCAGGTCAAACCAAGATTTTTAGGTTGGTTTAAGGTCGAATAAATTTTTTTGGGTTAACCTGGTAAAAAAAGTTTTTTTTTTTACATATGACCAAGAATCATAAAAAAATAATATAATTTGAGTATTTATTTTTAAAATCTGAAATACTTTTGCATAGATTTTACAAGTTTGTAAAATTTTAAAGGATTTTAGCCTACATTTCAAAAATACCAAAATATTTTTTTTTTAATATATGAGATTATGAACTTATACGTAAGATATATTCTTGATATTAAATAAAAAGACAGTTTATTTTATTTTTATATTGACATTAGAATGGTTAAGTTTTTTTACCCTAATAAGATAAGAATTTCTTTACTAAGAAGGATATTTCTTCAATGTTAAACAGACTAACAATTAGAAAATACAAGATTTTCTTAGTTTATATTAGACAAAAAAACAATACAGATTACCTTAGGTAAGATGTAATTGGGGTACTAATACCTTTTCTTTACGCAATCAATTTTCTTATCCAAAATCTAAGATCAGTTAGGGTTTCTATTGACTAAAATATTAGATGACGATTTTCATTTACTCTTTTGATTGATAACGAACAATAATTTCTTGTCCTTTCCTTCCACATTATTCTTGATTATCCTAATTTGGAAGAATGATTACCGTGATGCTACACAAGTGTGACAAAAAAACAACAATATTATCTATTATTCCACATATTAATATATTGCTTTGCATCACAAAAAAAAACCCAAAACATAATGTCCAAAGATTTAAACATAACTAAGCCAATGATGCTGGACTTGTTTTATTTTAGATGATAATTAAAATCGCTTGAATAAAAGACATAATTTTAGTTAATCATACCCAAGCAAACTCTCAAAAATATCATTCTGGTTGAATAAAAAAAACAAAATATAGGAAAACACTGAATATAAGGTAAATATGGAGGTGAATAATTCAAAATTTTACTTTCTTTTGTTAACCTTTTTTTGTTTTTGCCATTGTTTTCTATCATTATCATACATGTATTCCTTAATTACAAAGAAAATCATATTACCATCAACTATATTAAATTAAAAGTTTTAAACTGTAGTACTATAATTTACTAGCCTTGCTTTTTATTGTCCTTACAATTACAATTACAATTATAATTTGGCATTCATGGCATTCCTCTTGGCATTCCTCTTGTAAACTTTGACTTCGAGCCTACGAGAGAGTTAAATATGCCTCATAGAATTATATAGTTTTTTCTTAATTTGATTGTTACTGGGTTGAATAGCCTTG